GAGCCAGCAGTGTTTGTGAGAGGGTCGGGTCCCTCTTACATGGCCTCGAGAAAGGGGAGAGCTCGATCCATCCGGCCCGTGTAGCCGATCGACTCCGGATCAGAGTAGCCCAGATCGAGGCAGGTGCATGGGATACAGCATCCACAGAGATTCTTGTAGTTGATAGCCCTAATTTATGTGCTGCCCTGCCAGGCGATAGGTGGTGCCCGAGATGAAGCCATTGTGGACACACTGGTAGAAGCTTTTCGCAGGAAGAATCCAACGATTCAGAGGCGAGCTCAGCACAAGAGATTTGAGCGTGGGTCGGAGGTCACAGGGAATCCAACCTTGGATCGTCGGGTTGAGTTGTCGGACCTCAAGGCCAGCAGCTACTATTTGGGTCCTCTGGAGCGATTGCAGGATGAAGAAACTGCTGTCGGCTTAGAGCATTTGCTGAAGCATGCGGCCGAGGAGCGTGCACGGTCTGAGGCGGTTCACAGACCAGTGTGCTTGGATGCACAGACACGCTCGGCTTTGATGAAAGTGGTGACCCAGAGACGTGGCAGATTGCAGGTCGATGCTTTACCGGCCTTCGTGAGAAAAGGTCGAAATGCTGCCAAAACACCACTGAGATCTACCGGCCGAAAACAAATGGCTGAATGGTTGGAGTCAGAGGAAGGTCGACAATGGAGAGCTCAACGGGATGAACTGTTACTTGGCTACTGTTTGGGCATATATTTCTGTTGCAGATGGCAGGGTGTCCTTTTGTCTTAACTTTTCGGACACCCACGAGGTGGAAGGGCTTTTCCGCTCAACCACAAGAAGCAGCACATTTGAATGATGATTGAGATGAACACTGTACAGTGGTCGGTCACAGCTGCTTTTGCAACCAGCAATGCTGCATCGGAGTCTCAGTGCTCAGCAGCTGCCACTCATGTGACGTCTTTTTGTTTCAGGCTGCTTCAGCAACCAATGGGGCTTGCCAAGTGCGCTTGCCAACTGCAACTTGTGAATGCTGCAGACCACATGCAAAACCAAAGTCGTTGCAGCAGCTCTTTCTTTGGGCAAGGCCACTCAGCATGCTGCTGACCAGAGTGATCATAACTTGTCCGTCCCAGGTGTCCAGAAACATCTTCGAGTGGCTGGCCGGGCACTTGTTCATGACACCCACATTTCCGAAATCCGGATCTTCGAACAGGTGTCTGTTGTCACCTGCTAGGCTGGGAGGAGTGACGGTCATCTCATAGCGGGGTTCATCGTGCCAGGCTCTCAGTTGTACGTTGCCGAATGCCCCTCGGTTGTCATTTGATCATTATGTCAGGTCTCCTATGGTGCAAGACATGGAAGGATGGCTTGCCAGGCTCTCGTGTAAATGCAACTGCTCAAAGTGTCTGTGCAAATGCTTCTGTGTCACTATGCCACTATGCAGTCCCTGCTGATCCGAGCACCTCCATGCTGTGCTTGTGTCCCCGAGAGATTTTAGGCTCCAGGGTGCCTGCTTTGGGCTGAAACATGTCGTTCGGCCAGCCTCCTTGCATCATAGAGCGGGCCAAGAAGGTCAAATTGGATGACATTTCAGTGGCTGAAGGCTCAGGTTGGAGGCCATATGTTCTGTGTGTGTGTGTGTGTCTTCTGTAGCCCAGCTTGGTCCAGCAGAGATCATCTGTGCAAGCAGGCCATTGGAGGAGAGCCGTCGTGACAAGATTGTTGATGACCTCTTGACAAATGGCATCACAGCCTCTACACGGTCCCAGCCACAGCTCCTCATGCTGGCAGATCAGTCAGGGCCTGCATTAGATGGTGATGTGCCTTGGCTGAGCAGGATCCTGGTTCATGGTTCATCTGTAAACCAATGACATCTGCAGTTCTTGGTGTGAGATTCTAGCATATCTCCGTTTTGGATTAATGTTTCAGGGACGAATCCTCATCGCCGATGGCCTCCATTTTATCAGTGCCTTGAAGAAGGCCTTCGACCGATGCCAACAAGAGACGGCACAAGGTGTTGCTGCCAGTACCACTTATGACCCCAGGTTGCTGGATGCATCTTGGCTTTGCAAGTACATATGCAGTCAAAGCATCATTGAGGCATCCTCTAACTGACCCAGCTCATGACTTGTGCTGATGATAAGGCTTGGCAATCTGGTATCTTTATTGATATGATTGCTTTCCAAGAAGACCATCCTGATGTCCGCTTCAGTTGGTTCAGTGCAGCCCATGATGAAGAGGCTGACAAGGCAAAGTCCACTAGTATAGTGCTGAAGATCGCTGTTGTTGAACGTGCAGTGCAGCTTGGCTATTTCTCAGGCATATCTAGGAGTAGCAGCTGTTCAGAAGCTTCCGGTCGTGTTTGTCAAGCTGTCCGGAAAAAGCATTCAGGAAGCGCACGGTCGGAGGAGATCTACAAGCAGCAACTCAGCACCTGATCCAGCTACTCGGGGTCGGAGCAAAACAAAGAATAGGCAAGTGGACGAGGGCATGGAAGACCCTGGACCCAGAGATCAAGGATTCATTGCACAGGCAGGTCCCTGTCATGTTTCATCTGTCAAGGCAATCTGGTAGGGCAACTCCGTTGCCCAGCTGTTCTTGTTCAGGCAGTGTGGTGGCTACTTGTGCTGCTGGCTGCAGGTATGAGGTTCTACCACAGTCATGGATATTCGATAACCCATTCCTTATGGGAGATGGAGCGCGGAAGAACATGAAACTGCCGAAGGAATTCTGCAGGACAGATGAGGTTCTGAGTTCGGCATGAAACTGTTTGTTCTTGCCTGTGGATTTTCAGCTTCTGTTTCAGGACAGCTCTGGAGATGGCAGTGAAAGAATCTTGGCGCATCTTCAAACATTCCGAATGTTGTTCATCAGAACTGTGCATTGACAAAGCTCATGCTGGTGACTGGTCTTTGCTGCCATAGACTGCAGATGCCTCACATTCTGGCTCTTTGGTAGTTCCAGTCCGAAGACATAGCATCATTTCTAGCAGAACCCGTGGAAGTTGAATCCAAGAGAGTGCAGTTTGTTGACAGAGTTCCGTTCCCCAGGCATAAAATTCTTCTTTTTCAACGGGTGTCAATATGCTATCCATATTAATTAAACACATTGAATTCAGGGATACAAGAAGTAGGGTTGCAGCCTCCACCATGTTGATTATCGACGACGAGGAGAATGGTGGCTCACCTGATTTGGGTGCAGCCAGTGCGGCTGTGGCTGCTGCTGTGGATGATGATGATGATGATGATGATGCCATAGATTTTGGCAAGCCGGCAGCTCCTGATAGGTCCTCCTCGGCCCGCCCGGTTCAGAAAACGAACACAGCATCGACGAGAATCACCGAAGAGGTTGAGGATGACTATGTTCCTTTATGCTTTGGTGCTGTAGGAGACTCCAAGCCGGAATCAGCAGCCCTGGCAACTGCAGCTCCAACAGATGTTCCGAAGAAGAAGAAGAGAAAAACCTCCTCGTTGTCCGAGACTGCCAAAGCGGGAGGCAGCAAGCCGAAGCCTGGGAAAATGGCCCAGCGGGTGCGATCAATAAAGAAAAGGTCTGGTCAGAGGGAGGAACCAGACCCACGTTCTGCTTCTGATATCGATGCAGAAGTTCAGCAACTTTTCAAGACGGGAGGCCGGGCCAAACATGCTTGTGTGCCGGTGTGTGACATGGCAATATGAGCTGTTGTGCTGAATTTCTATGAGAGGCAGAATCTTGCTGGAGATATTTTGTGGAGCAGCCATGATTGTCCAGGCCGCCAGAAGTGTAGGCCACTGTCCAGCAATGAAGACTAAGAATGAATGCAGTCCCATGTCATAGGTTTGTAAGGTTTCTGCATTCCCTGCCACTTCGATGCTGGTTCATTGCAACCAGTGCCCCATGCCAGAGGTCTTGTGGCAGTGGGCTTGGATTCCAAGCAGGGTGAGGATGTGACAGACCCGGCAATTTTGGACAAGATTTTGTCGTGGATCAAGGCGGGGCTCATACTGGCTGTGGCCCAGCTGAAGTATGCAGCACATCACAGAGTGTTGCATGGAAGTTCCATGGGTCATTGAGTACTCTAAACAGCCCAGTCCTTGAGTTAGGTATGGTTGTCACCGCCGTGCAACTCCTTCAGCCGGGCAAGGAGGGGTAAGAAGAAACGTGGCCAGCGCCGTGGATTTCCAGCTGCACTTCGCTCCAAGCAGCAACCATGGGGATTACCGGAGCTTGATATGACTGTCGCTCGGCGAAAGCTTCTAGTGCTCAGCAACGTTGGCATGACTCACAACATGTGCACTGTCACTCAGTTTGCTGAGCCAACTCCTTTTTTTGCTCATATTGCAAGATCAGGATCGTGACAGGTCAAAGGTGCGGATGGGCAACACATGCGTCAGAGCTGCACTTTCCATCATAGATGTGTGCTGTGGACACCGTGTTCCCGTGGTGCTGGAACATCCACAAACTTCCTGGATGTGGTCGCTTCCGGAACTGTCAGAGCGGATGGAAAAGACCAGCACACAGGACATTGCCTGTACAATGTGTGCTTTCGGGACATTGTACAAGAAGCCCATGAGGCTATTCATGTGGAACTCGACTTTTCAACCAGAGAACCCCAAGTGCATCAAGTGTAAACCGAAGAAGGAGAAACCCGGTCGACGAGGACCAGTTCTGTGCAGTTTTACAGGTAAGGCCCACAGCAGGTTGAGTGGGGCCATGTCTCAGGGAAACAAAAAGTTCAAGACCAGTGGTACCGAAGAGTACCCTGCTCCTTTTGCAGACTGGGCACTTCGTTTATTGATGGGCAAGACTGAGTCTTAACTGCGAGTTCATATTGGACTCGGGATTCAGCAGAAACTTGAAGGTCTGAGGCCATGGATGCTACACGGAAAAAGATTTCTCAGCTACTCTGACTGCCAGCTTCATTCAATCTTCCCACCTGTAAGCTTCGACTTGTTAAAAGCCTTTGACAAAATCTCTATCCAAGGTCCATGAGGATGGTGGAAAGGGGCTGAGCCTCGACAGCAAATGTTTCTGTGGCTTAGCTGCGTGTATAACTCATGGCTCATGTCCTGATTCCAAGGAGTGAAACCGCATTCAAAAAGGATATCTGTGCCCCGCTCGGCTACCTGGCCCAATGGCAGAACTATGCTATCCGCACGTTCGGCCAAGTTGCGACGGGTTCACCGGCTTTCGGCCGCTTGATCGAGACACTACAAACCCGGCAGGGATTGGAAAAGGTGAAATCCTGCCAGCAGTCCGGCACTGCGCTACATGGAAAATCATCGAGCGACATAGGCATTCAGGACCTGCTTCGAGGGGTTTCGGTGTAACATCATGTTTCACTTGCAGAGTCTGGGCACATGCTCCGTCATTATAAACAATCTGCTCGACAGGAAGTGAACCAATTGTGGCTCGAGTTCAAGAAGCAGAAAGCTGGTGCAGCCTTGGTCAGCAAGAAGCCCGAAGCAACCATGAAGGAGGAAGCAAAGGATGCGCCCACCGGTCAGACACAGACTGAGACGCTCAGCGATACGGCCACTGCCAGTGGCACAAGCATCGAGGTGGTCGACCTCTCGATGACGGTGCTGCCGGAGGAGCCCGAAGATCCGGTTCAGAAGGCAGCCCGAGAGAAGTCACATGCCGAGCTGGACCATGTCTTTATCCAAACGGACAAGTCTCTCCTCCTGGAGGCAGTCATTCAAAAGATGACAAATTCGTCTCAGAAAGTGTGCTGCATTATCGATGCTCAGACGAGCAGGGCCAAAGTGAGCTTGGACTATGTGGAGATATTCAGAAACTTTGTGGTCGGCCATGGTCTGACGCGCTACAGCTTCGTGGTGATAGTCGGTCAGAGGCCAGGCTTCCAATTCTAAGAAAGTGAGTTGGCCGATGGGACCCAAGCTTCAGCCTTGTCCAGGATTGACCTCCTTCATGCGGTGCACACCAAAGTAGCAGCTCTTTTTCGAGGGGACCGAGTATCAATGATCCAGATGACATCGGGATCAGTGATGCAGACTGCCAAGTCGATGCCAGGCTTCATGGTAGTGGTCCACTCCCTTGCCGCATGACTCTGATCGGATTTCCGTTTTGGTTCACCTGGTGAATTTTGTTGTTTCCATGGAAAAGACACTCAGGCTGTGCAAGCTGATATGCCATATGTGGTGAATATCTTGCGGCACAGGGCCACCCCGGCAGAACAGATCCGCAAGCGCTGCCTTCGACGTGACTGCCCACTTCGTGATGACACGGACAGGTCGGAGATGCTTCCGGAAGGTGCCCTAGTGGTCCAAGAGCAAGCTTTTTTTCAGAGGGCGGTCTTCTTCTGACTGAGTGTGAAATTTTCAACCATTGGGTGTTCTGGCAGTAAGGAAAAACAGTCCCGGCTAATCACGAGCTCCCGGAGGACGATCGGGAAACCGACCCGTTCTCCGTTGAGCCAGCCGATGAAGGAGCCACAGCCACATCGGTTCTTGAAGACGACACACCGCCGGGACTTCCCGGCACTGGCAATGACAATGATTCTGGTCCGAGGGATTACCTCATAGATCTCTGGCCTTTTGCCCGGCCGGTCGGTAGCTTGGCAAAAACAGTGTGTCCCAGGCACAATCAAAATCTTAACATCTCCTTTGTGGTCTAAGTACTAAGGCTACTATGAACAAGTGTTGGATGAGATCCTGAAGGCCACGGGCTGTCAGACCATTCTTGTTATGTCAGTGTCCGCGCATCCTGCTCCGTGGATTGCTGTGCGCAAGCTGCTGCATGCGGATTCCAGATTGCATTTGTGGAAATACTAAGCCCGAACTGAATGACGAAGCCTCGGAAAGAGACAGTTCTTAGCTCAGGACTGCTTTGTACTGGCAGACCGCTTGCGCCGCCATTCGATGGCACACGCAAAGGAAATTGCCCTGCAATATTTTTACCGTGTGGCATACAAGGACCTTGACAAACGCACAGGACCACGGAAGAGGCTTCTGGGCCAAGCGGACGTACAAGTGATGATGAGCCCACACATCTCGGGGCAACAGATCATCGAGTTTTTGGAGGTGCCCGTTGATTCCTCAGTGCCTTTTTCTGGTGTGGCTTGGCTTGGCAGTTGAAGCAGACTCTGCCTGTGTCCTGAACTTCTGATACTTCTTGCTGGTACTACGATTCATTCCATCCAATAAGGTAGATCAAGTGCCCACTGACTTGCCAAAGTTTCTCAACGGCCTGGTGGACCGCGAACTGGAAAAGAACAATCTGTACTTGCAGAGCAATGAGGGTCGCGGCAAAGGAGTGTATGTATTCAAGCCTGTGCCTGAAGGGGAAACAATTCTTGAAGCTTCGTGCCTCATCTTCAGTGGCTGGCCGGCCTTGCTTGCATTCCTTCGTGAACATCCGGGTCAGAGTGATGCAGCTGCTGGGTGTGCAACTAGTGATGCCAAATTCGAATCAGACAAACTCTCTCCCAGCTTGCTCCAGCCTTGCTCAGGTCATGCGCCTGCAAGGAGTTCTCCAGTGTCAGGTTCCGAAGACGATGTATTGTGTGCTCTTAGGAGCAGCACGGTTTGTGAACTCATACCATGGAGCACGATCTTCTCCGAATGCTGAGTGGTGTCTCGATGCAACGAAGGGAGCAAACCCTGGTGCCCTAGCTGCATCTTCCATTGTATTTTGTCGGCTGATTTCCGGCCAATGCACACACTGTGCCCTGCAGGATGCCTCAGCCTGAAGGCAAAGACGCGCAACAATTGCGGCATCGGTGCAAAGTGTGAGGTTCTGGTCAGTTATGGGTTGGACTATGATTTGACTGGTGCCAAGCCACTCTCATGCACCGTTGTTTTGTCGCTATGTTATAGATTTTGACAATTCGCTATCCACTGATGGTGCATTCCGTTAATTCATTGTAGCTGGGCTCAGGAAACCACGTCTGGAATCCTTCTTCAAGGCCAAAGTCGAGGGCGAGGGAGTGCAGGATGTGAAGATGGAGACCAGGTCGGAGGCGGAAGCCGCTGCCAAGGAGACAGAGGAAACTCCGCAGGAGGAGAATCCTGGAGCAACACCAACAGGCAACCAGCCAGAACCCGTGGAGGTTCCAGAAAGCAAGCCAGAGCCCCCCACTGCCCCGAGCAAGAAAAGGTCGGACGAGGACGAAGAGAACTTGCAGGAGACGATTGTCAAGCATATCGATGATCCACCATGCGACTTCATTTTGTTGGAAAACGACACAACCTCAGAGTCAGGCTTCGGTCTCCGAATTCGGAGTATGGCCGATGTGAATCGGAGGCTGCCGAAGCACTGGCTTGTGACCTCCTACCAACAGGGCAAGCTGATCCGTGTCAACAATGAACAGTTTCCGGAGGCATGTCTGAGGTATGAGGTGGCGATGACTGACCTGGTCATCGATATGTCTGTGACACCCAAGACTGTTTGCACGATGAAGGAGCTGGTGAAGACAAGCGGAGTGGGAAAAATTCATGGGTATAAGGAATTCCCAGCTGATACTGTTCCAAGCATCTGGGCTGCACTGCAAGTTCCGACTGTGTCCAGATTTGATGGCATTGGGTTGATTGGCTGTCATTTGTTTCTGAGGACAGTTGGTTGCAGATGGAAACCATTGCCTCACTGAATGTGATCCACTTCACTACAAGCTCGCTGAAGCCATGCAGGAGTTGACCAGCATCGGTCTGGCTTGGGGCTTTCAAAAAGCTCAGAACAAGTTGGTGCCCTGTGGCTACGGAGTAGTGTCGGTGAAAGGGCGTATCATGCAGGCAAAAGAAGTCATTGATTTTTTCACCTGAGAGTCGTCCCAACTGAGTACTGCAGCTGTGAAGCAGCAGTTGCGGAAGTGAGTTTTGCAGAGCACTCAGTGCAGGTCAGAGGAGAATCATGCAAGCACAAGAATGTTGTGGATCTTTGTATTTGAGTTTCCACCTTGCACTGACTGCTGCAGCTGTAAACACGGAAGTGAGTTTTGCAGAGCACTCAGTGCAGGTCAGAGGAGAATCATTCAAGCACAAGAATGTTGTGGATCTTTGTATCTGAGTTTCCACCTTGCACTGACTGCTGCAGCTGTAAACACAGCAGTGATTCCAAGTCTCAGGTCAGAGGAGGATGTTCGGACTAGGTTTTCCTAAGAGCAATCAGCCCTTGCACAATCATCATGATCAAATGTCGTGTTAACACAATCTTACAATATCAGTGTGAGGGGTTGCTTTGCTCAGATGTCCGTCGGCTCCATCTCGGCCCCAGAGACACACAGTGCCGATGCAGGGGAGAAAAATCCACCACTTGCCGGTGTCCCTCACAGCCTGTCTTGTCTCCTGTTGTCTGCATGTTCTGGTGTCTGCCCAGGTCAATCAGCGCTGTTGGACCGTTCATGCAGAGTCGAAAAAGATGGTATGCAGGGGGAGTGAATGCACCCCTCATGGCACATTTGTTGCTGTCAAAACGACCCTACATTGTGATAAAGGCCTGTCTCTTTTGGCTGTCCCTGTTTAGGATCTAGGGTTTTAAGGCTTAGGATCTACCTTAACCCGGAATAACCTACATTTTTAAGGACTTATAAGGAAATCATAATAAGGAGCCCTAAAAAAAGGTAGGATATTCAGGGTTAAGGTAGGGTGTTAGGGTTTGGGATCTAGGCTTTCAGTTCGCAGGCTCCATAGTAGTTCCTTTTTGGGGGTTCATAATTAGAATCCAACAAGGTAATCCGAAAAAGGGATATGGGTAGGGCTTACCTTAACCTACCAAAACCTACGTTTTTGTAGGGACCCTGTAAATTCCATTTTTGGGTTTATGTTAAGAACCTACAAAAAAGTAGGGTTTGGTAGGTTGAGGTAGGATCTGGGGTGTTAGGATTTGGGATCTAAGGTCTGAGGGTTTAGGCATAAGGGTTTTACGGTTCGAGATTTAGGCTCAGGGCTTTGGGATCTTAGGGTCCCCAAGGGCCCACGTGCCCATACACTCTGTGTAATCATGTGTGTGTGTGTGTGTGTATATATATGTATATATGTATAGGGTTTCAAGCAAAGCCAAACAAGAACAGAGAATGGGGTAACAGGTTGGAAAAATGTAACGGACCCAGGTACCAACACGGCATTTGCGTGGACCTTGAATTTGCTTCTGTATGGGAGTTTCACACTCAGCTTACAGACTTTAAAAGGGGCTATATGGGGTTGCACAAGCAAGTTGCGGATCCCTGCCTAAACCCTATAATATCCGAAACGCTATAAACCCTAAAGATGGAGATCATTTGAGATCCCTTACTCGGCACCGTAAACCCCTAAACATGTATTCCAGCAACTCAAGGCCCTTTAGTACTTGTTTTCGGCAGCCCCGGACCCTAGACCCCAAACCGAAAGATCCTAAAAGCATCCCGGAAAGGAACCATAAAAGGATCGACCTACTGTTGATGGACAAAATCCTGCATTACCCATTACAAGGAATATACCATAGTTCCCATAGTTTAGAGTTCGTAGAGTCATGCAGGATTTTGTCCATCAGCAGTAGGGAATCCTTTGGGGGAAATGGTTCTTGCGGGAGGCTTTGGACCTGGCAAGACCTTCAGCGTGCCATCTGTGGTGAACCACACCTGGAAGTCTCCCTTCTCCGGGCGCAGACAGTGCATCCCGGTTGTTCCAGGGTTTCATAGGCTTTTGGGTTTAGGGCAGACAGTGCATACCTCTTTTGTTGGTTTTCAGATTCCGTTTCTTGCCAGGTTTCGAAGGGTTCTTGCAAAGCTTTATAAAACTCCGCATAGAAATCTTGTTGCTTTGGGTTTCGGGTTTCGAGGGTCTAGTGACTAGTGTTCAGGGTTATGTTGTGCTCTGTCGTTTTTGGGAGGATGTCCCTAGGCAGAGATGGGCAGGAATCTTGAGTCATTTTATTGCACTTTACGTCTCCTGTGAACATGGATCTTGCCATCTTCCAAGCCCCGAAAACTTAACCCTAAATCCCTTAACTTGAAGTCTTTCTTGCTCAAAGCTAAAAAATTAGCTTCTGAGCGGCTTCTAACAATGCAGGTTACAGGGCCAGTTGGGGTTTCGAGTTCTGTTGTGTCTTTTTTAGGGTTTGTTTTAAAGGTGTCTCGCAAGTACGTACTCTTTTGCTCTGCATTCGCGTGCAGTTTCTTGCAACCGGGATTAGGATCATTACCAAGCAAAACGCCGTCATCTGCCGTCTGAAGAAAGAAGCTGCAATTCACAGTCTAAGTTACGTCTGCGGTGTGTGCGTGTGTGTGTGTGTGTCTAGCACGCGGGCTTGGTAGATTTAATTAACATTTACCAGGCTAATAAGTCCCAAACTGCCCTAAGCCCTAAACCGCCCGAAGCCCCTAAGATATGGTTAGGGTTTGGGCATAGGAGTTTTGGGCTGCTTTCTGTTTGTTGGCCCTAAACTCTACTCTAAACCCTTACTAAACTTTGTTAACCATGTTTTATGTGGGGATCCTGCATGCAAACACGAAAACGGGTCACGATGCAGACTCCGGGTAGGGTTCATTCTGGGATAAGCTTGGCACAAGCAGGCTTAACCCCTCAGTTCGAGACGCCGAAACAGGAAAATTTGAGATGTGTGGTTCAATCCCCACAGCGGTCTCGGAATTCGAGTGTAACAAGGCCGCTTTTTGACCAGGAAACGCTGCTAGACTTAAAAGCCTGGGCTTCAGCCGTAGCAGCATCCTCCGAGGTATACGAACTGCACCGAGGCCGTTTGGGTGGCATTCGGGTTTATGGTTTGGGGGTTAATTAGGGTTTAGGGTTTAAGGTTTGGGGTTTGAGGTTTAGGGTTTAGGGTGTGGGGGGTTTAGGGCATCTAACCATCTATCGGGTTGCCTATCTATCGCTCTCCTATCTGTCTGTCGACCGGTCGACTGATCTGTCTGTCTATGGGGAGACATGATACAAACCAAGCTGACTGCATTAGTAGCTCCTGATATAGAAGCTTTATAGAGTCCTTAAAAAGAGCCCATCATGAAACCGTCAGAGGAACCCAATAACCCCCCTCTCCCCCATTCTGTACTATGTTGGTAGCTTTCCTTTTAGGTATGCAACTCCGAGAAACGCCGAGCCGTGCGCACATGCGCTGAGCAACTTAGGGCTCAAGACCTAAACAACAGGTCGGTATAGGGGTTTAAAGTTCAGGGTTTTAGTAAAGGGTTTGTAGGGTCCAAGAGCTCACTGATTAGGCACAGAATCCGTGCGGGCTCGACTGTAGACAAGGCTGACAGCCAGTCGACCCTTGATGGCTTGAGCGGCCGGATATCTGGCTATACCCTTGGAGTAGCAGAACATACCATCGCCTCGAACAAGTGGTGGATGTCGATTGATGAATCCGTGGTCAGCACTGTTTGAGCGCGAGATTGCGGGCTTCGGCTCTCCGTTGCTCTTTTTCGAGCCCTCACCGCGACCGCGGTGCGCTGGGCTGATCTCGCAGAGGACCTATTCCAGATTGTACAGGTACTTTGCTCAGGCTTTTTATGTTGAGCTGCCGAACTTTCCCTGATGCTTCCGGCCCCGATCCAGGCAGCAACTTCGAACCTGCAGTACACGTCCAATATCGAGCCCAAATCTTAAATCTTCAACCCCCTCAAACCCTCAACTCACCCAAACCCATCTCGGTGGCTTACTCAGGATCGTTTTAACAAGCAAGAACCCGCCGATTCAGTTACTTGCTCCATCGCCTTATGGTCCATAGCACTGCAGCCTATACCTCAGTCCTGACCAGCACACTTCTACTTCATCATCCTCAATGCAACAACTCGTAGTGGGAAGAACGCTACTACTGCAAATCTGGGTTCTTTGAACGACGGCCGTGGCAAGGCTTCCAAGCCCGTGCCCCTCTCATTCCCTCATTCCCTGCTAAAGGCCGCCACTTCCACAGGCGTTGTAGCCTATGGGCTGTATATTCAAGGGTTCCAGCTCCTCGACTCGTAGCAGGCTGCAACTTCGGGCATTTCTGGGCAAGTCCTATCAGAACGCTTGCTCGACTTATGACGTCTATTTGGCATCTCGCAGATCCCCCTGGCAATAATCCTTCTTGCTACATAATCCTGCTGCTTACTTACTCAGGCAAAAAAGGGGTCCAAGGAAACCCCAAACCGCAAGCGCTCCGAACCGTCAGGCCAGCACTATCGTCACGATGTTCTGGGAGACGCTGGGGTCGTTTTCAGAGGCCGCTGAACCTACTCAACACGGGGCCTGAACATTGAGAGTGCTATGAATTCCTGAGGGTTGTCTTATTTTAGCATTAGACCCGCGCTTAGGCTGCCTTCCTGTTTCACGTAATTTGTATAAACCCATGTCGACTTTAGTGCCACCCCTGTGTTGCCGTTCTTTCGCTGTTGTTTGCCCAGGGTGCATATCCAGGGCATCCTTCTCGGCCCTTCCTGCATCCTCCAACGGAGTTTTATTGGGGGAGGGTGTTACACACATGGGGAGGTACTCAAACCTCCATATCTGCATGAACCACAGGAGCCGGCTTACCTTTGTTTAGTGGGTTACTGTTCCAGAAACCTTCTCATGCCAATAAATGTCCAAAATATATGTCTTGTGCTTGTAAGCCAGCAAGTTTAACCTACTCAACTCTATGTCAGAGGTAGGCTTCAGGGGAAGGCGTCTGGGTGTCCCGACGGTGTTCAGGTTTGACCTGCGCTTTCAAGTAGCTACTATTCACAGGCTTATGCCACACTCACAGGGCCATACCTTACCGGGGACACCTGAACCGAAAAAGAAGCCCTAAGCCTAAGACCCTAAAGCCCAGTAGACCCCAAAGCTCGACATCGAAATGTGAGAGTCGGAACCATGAGCCGCAAAATTTCCTTACAGGCCCCTAGATACTCGTAGTATAACTTTCCACCAAACCTGACGAAGAGCATGTAAGGCCCCTACATGAAACCTTTTAGTCTGATCCCAAACCTTAAACCCTGATCCTAAACCCGAATCCTAAACCCTAAACCCCCATCCTAAACCCTAAGCCCCGATCCAAAACCCTAAACCCCAAAACATGATCCCACACCCTAAACCGTAAAACCCGATCCCAAGCCCTAAAGCCTTATCCTAATCCCTAAACCCCATACCCCGAACCCGCATCCCTGATCCCAAACCCTAAAGCCTAAACCACAATCCTAATCCCTAAACCCTAAACCCTGGTCCCTAAACCCAAACCCTAAAGCCTAAACCACACCCTAAACCCTAGTCCCTAAAGCCTAAAGCCTACAGTAAACGGCGAGAGGCCGAGAAGGAGCGATTCCTTCGATTTGTTTGGGGCCGAACACGGCTCCCTGTGGAGGAGGCCCTTTGGGGTTTAGGGTTTCGGGGCTTAGGGGTATAGGGTTTCGGGGTTTAGGGGTATAGGGCTTAGGGTTTTAGGGTTCAGGGTTTATATAGAGGGTTTAGGGTGGAACTGATTGGCATTTACATGACAAGATTTGGTTTAATGTAGCGCTTTCGGCATTAGATTTGTTTGAGAGTGGAGGTTTAAATGGTTCAGAAATAGAGGTTTGGGCTTTGGGTATTGACTGAGGTTGAGAATGATTAGAGTTTAAGGGTTTCAGCTTGACGGAGCTCGCTTTATCACTGAGCCTTCGAGGCTTTCAGTCGCATCACATGTGGGAGTTTCCGAAAATAGGGGACCCTAATATGGTACCCTAAATAGTAGGATCCGTATTATAAGGACCCCAAAATAAGGCACCTCCTGTTTTTGGAAACTCCCATGTCTGTTGATCAGACTAGTGGGCCGGGCGAGTTGCAGGGGTGGGGGCTGGCAAGAACTGTTTTGTTATCCTGGCTGGTGCTCGCGTTTCATGTTTAGGCTAAGGATCGCCAACACATGTCGTCGTGTTCGTTGTGGCTGCAGCTCGCAGAAGTTGACAGTTCTTCGGAACCGCAAGGCAACGTTCAGCCAGAACAGGCCATGGAAGGTAGTTGTTTTCTAATCTGCCTGTGGTTTTGGTTGCCGTTCATACACACTGCAGCAGGCGGGACACCAAGCCGTCAAGCAGTCTGCACAGGATGCTGCCCAAGGGGCGACGCCGTGTGCAACAGTGTCGACGCCCTCGGGGAGAAAGCTAGACTAGAACATTCGGCACGACGGTTACTGTCTTCGTGGCGTCGGCTAGCGACACAACGAAGCTACGCGGCAGGTGCAGAAGTACTGATATGTCCTGATTGAGCTCCTAGAGCATGCTGCCTACATCCCATCTGAAGCCCAACACCCACCTGCACCCTCCAAAGTACATGCGTCAAGATATTTGGTCGGATTCTTGGGCGGTGTTATGATACGCTTGCTAGGATAACCGAAGTACTACCCGAACAGAACTGTACCCTAAATCCTCAGCCCTGTGACCTAGATTCCTTGAACACCTGGCAGGGTTGAGGAGTTTAAGTGAAAAGGGTTTAGGGGTTTTAGGGTTTGGGGTTTACGGTCGGGAGTGATGTTTTCAGGGTTTCTACCAGGACCTTAATGTAAAGCTGCACACAATACAAACTATGACGTCGTAGGAACCGGGTTATACTGTCTGAAAGCATTGTAGGATTTGCAACTTCAACCGTAGGCGCGAAAACCCCCAATCCAAGCCTTTGGTCTGCAGGAGTGGGAACAAAAGTTTCAATTGGCCGCCGTGGCCGCCGACGACGCGCGGCTGCCGACCAGTCACACCTGCTTCTTCCAGCTGGACTGCGCGGTCTGTCTGTGTGTGTGTGTGTGTCGGGATTTGAATCTTGAGATGTAGAGAGAGACAGACAGAGAGAGAGAGAGAGGAAAGAAGTGCGACGCGAGAGAGCAACGTGAAAGCCTCTGAAGATTCGGAACCCTACCAGGGATGTTGTGTCGCCACTACCCTTATAGCAAGGCAACTCATTTGACGCACTAAACCAACGTTACACGTCAACCATAGCTGTGCAAGCCTTAAGAATTGAAATTGTAAACCCTTGAAACCCTTCGACCCGAACCGCGTAGCCCTGAAGAGTCTATAACCATAATGGCAACCCAAAGGAGCGAAATGCTGTAAAGGCTGCGCCCGAGCCCTAATAGCATCTGTACTGTAGACTATGACTATACTATATATCGTAGTCGTACAGAGCCCTAAGTTGTAGAGCTCTCGGGAAAGTGCCCGGAAACCTAGTAGGACAAGCTTACAGACACCAGGGAATTTCTAAAGATCTTGATATCAACGAAATCCTAGTATTCATCCCTACACGACATGACCTTCTAAAACACTTCAGACCCACCCCAAACATCCTTTCGAGCACCTCAAAAGATCACCAATTCCTAAGCCCTGCGCCTAAACCCAGTTAGCACCGCAGGATCTGCCCCGCTACTCCAGTCGCAGAGTTTTGGCCGAGCGCTTGCGCTTCGCCATGGACAGCGACGTCGACGCAATTCATTGGGGCTGTAGCTTATGATTTGGGGTTCAGGGATGTTGGGTTAAGGGTTTAGAAGCAAGGCTTCGGGGCTACAGTAGGGTTTACTGCTTCTGCGAGTTCAAGTAGGGCTGCGAGGGCTTAACAGTAAGGTCTGAATTGTCTGACGCTAGCTCTGTCGGTCCCGGGCTCCAGAAGAGCGTTCAGTTTCAGATGAGGCTTCGTTTAGGGTTAAGGGTTTATAGGGTATATGGATGACTGGGGGATCTCCAGACCCTGGTGGTCCATGTACCCAAATAGTATAGATTTGGCTTGAGAGTACTCCCTATTGGATACATGGAGGTTTGATGAATCCTTAGCCTATTGCCTCGACACACCTGTGACGGGAACACGAGTCGGGTTCAAACACGAGTCACGCCCAGCATGTCCCCGGCACTGTGGCTGGAGCATGATTCAGCAGGCGGGATTGCAAGGGACTGTGGAGGCTCGGAAACTGTTTAGGGTGTGGGGTCTGGCGGTAAACTAAAGCTTTGAAGTCATGTCGCGAGATATGCTTGGAAGGCTTTAGAGGGACCTCCAAGCCAGACAAACCCGTCCGCGTAAAGCATGAGAGCACACAAGTCCGAGATCCGAGAGTCCGAGATCCTGCACATACAATTATGATAATTAACATACGGGCGCGGCATAATCAAGCACCTATGCTATTTTCGGGGATTCTTTATCATAATTATGGTATAATGGGCCCAAAAACCCAATTCTAATTCTTAAGACCCCGAAATTAGGCCTGCGTCAATTAAGCCAAGACTCCGAGCCCAGCAGTTCAGCAAGCCAAACTCCTGGCGGGCGCCGCAGGTCCTAAAACTAGCCTAACACCCTAAATACACACCGCAAAGCCTCATAACAGTATGCCTTAAATGGAATCCTAATGCCAGGAACCTCAAAGTGTACACCAGAGAAGCCTCAGCATTGACCCCCTGAGCGCTGCAAACTTCCCTAAATCTCAACTATGAAACCTCTAGACCCTGAAAACTCGCAGAATCTTAAATGAAACACCCACTTTGCTTGAATTAACTCAACATCAAAAACTCTGGCAGTTCCATAAGCCAATTTTAATATGTCTACATTCCAAACCGTCTTGGAATCTCTAACTTAATAACTCAACATCCAAAACTCTGGCAGTTCCATAAGCCAAAGTTCTGATAAGACGGGTACATTCCAAACAGTCTTGGAATCTCTAACTTAAACGTCAAAATCGAACAACATGCTGCATAACAAGCAACAACCCACCCCACCTTTAAAGGTTGCGTCACAATCGACTCCGACGGCGCGCCACGGAGTATGGCGAACTGGGCAGAGGACCTTTTGGGTTTTTGATGGGCTTCCCTGAATGGGTGGTTGTCAAAATTAGGGTCCTTTTTTGGGTCCCTAATATAGTACGGCACCTAATATTTAGGCTACCCAAAAAGGGACCGTAATTTTGACAACCACTCTAATGGCTCCTGTCAAGGTTCCTAAGGTTTGGGGTTTAGGCTCGGTCAAAGATTCCTTTACAGTACTGCGATGGAATCTTAAAGGGCTGTAGGGCTTCTTCAGATGTATTTTAACAGATCCTGCAAAGGTCTATAGGTGGGTTCCAGAAGGGGTTAAGGGTTCTAAAAAGAAGAGTTTAGGGGCTGGACAAAGGTTTTGTGGGGTCGTAAAACCGTTCTTAAGGGGTTTATTTTGCGGATTTCAGACGGTTTGAGGTGAGGAGGTTTCACAGGGTGTCATAGAGTTTTACAGAACTTTACTCATGGGATTTCACACTGTCTTACCGGATGGTATTCTCGGCTTTCGTGGCCATAGGGTTGAATATGATTCAAGATTGTTGCATGTATCGGTTCAGGGTTTCAGGAAGTTGAAAGGGCTCAAGCCTGCAAGGGATCCGGAGTCTGGGTTCGGGGCTGCATGTTTAGGGATGTTTAGGGTTTTCGGGGCTTGGGGCTTATAGGGTTTGTGATAGGGAAGTCCTTTGCGAGCCCCTGGAAGGGTTCCTACTGGGTTCTAGGAGTGTGTTTATGGGTCCTGGCAGGGGTTTGGGGTTTGGGCGTTGTTGTGGAGTTCAGGTTAGAAGCTGCCCCCACCCTGTAATAGTGGTTTAATCGGAATATAACAGGGCCCTGATATACTTCTTTTTAACCCTTATAGTCACTATTACATGGTGGGGGCCCCTTCTAAAGTTCAGGTGTGTTTAATCTTCACCGGGCTTTCTATTGCTGCCCTAAGGCCCGATAGTAGTTCCTTTTTGGGATTACCTTCAAGGATTCTATATATGAACCCCAAAAAGGAACTACTTTGGGGCCTTAGGGTAGTACTCCAAACTCCGGGAAATGTAGCAAAGCTTACCGTGGACGCCGGATCCTGCAGTCTTCTGTGCAGCAGCTGTACCGGTGTAGAAAACTAGGATTTTGGATTACAGGGGACCCTAATGTAGTACCCTAAATAGTATAGGACTCTTATTTTCAGGATCCCTAATTTCGGGAACTCCCATCTAGGGTCTTGGATTGAAGGACTTGGTTCGCTGATTGAGGCTCTGGGACCTATTGGCGTAGGGCTTTTGGTCCAGGGTTCAAGGTATGCGAGCCTCGGTCGCCCACAAGGGCATCAAGCTATCGGGCTTTGGGGTGAGGCTGCAAGTAGCGGATACCTGGAGTCGATGTGAAAGCTACTGTAGAACCCTGCGCGTCGGAGTAGCAGGGCGCAGGATAAATCGTTTCGGGTTGAGGGTTTCAAGTCCTCAGCTCTTTACGTCCTCAAATCCGAAAATAGCGGAGACCTGCCAACGATTCACAATGCCAGGACGCGATGTCCGATGAGGAAGGCCGGACTAATGCTTTTTGTGGGATATCAAAGTCAGGAGGGGTTCCAAATGCCCACGTGAGGTATACTTGCACCTGTCAGGAGTTCATGCATAATCTAGGAACCTGATCAAGAAGCCTTGGGCCTATAACCCCAAAATAGTTGGATTCTCATAAGGAACCCGAACAAAGGCCCAAGGTTTCTTAATCAGGTTCCTACGTTACTGGTTTAGGGGTTTAGGTTGGGTACTGCCCCCACTCAGTAATAGTTGGATAATATTCATAATGTAGATATATTATAGGACCTTCATAGTAGCCCTAGTATAGACTGTTACTGTATGGGGGCAGTACCCAAGGTTTAGGCTTTAGGGGCTTAGCTTCCCGAAGGTCCAAGTTGAGGGCTCGACCATCGCCACGCGGAGCCCCTAAACCCTAAACCCTAAACCGTGGTAGAGAGTTTGTAGAAACCTGTCCGTTTTAAACGGTTCTCTCCAAAAGGGTCCTAAAGGGAACTCCAGAAAGTTGGAATATGGTTTCATGGTAGGATCCCCTATAATTTACTATAGAAGGGTTAGGATGATGATATTCCAACTTTCTGGCTTCTACTGTATGTACTGGTGTGGGGGATACCTCCCTAAGTCATAGTAGTAATTCTTAATATGGAAACCTTACATTCTACAATATCAGTACATAGGACCCTTTGGGCTCTACCGGACCCTAAGGTAGCATCCTAATCAGCGGGAGCCTTGTTTCAAGTGGCCTGACACGAAGTGCCCTTGAGTTTGATCACCTTAGAGCTCTTGCCCCACTTTAGACCCTCAGCCGAAATCCATAAATCCCTGAATCATAGATGTAAAACTCGACAAAACAAAAGCCTCGTTCGATCTTACCCTGAAGCTGAAACCGAACCCCGAACCCTAAAGCATCAGATCTTAACCCTGCACATGAGCCTTACCTGGACCCCCCCACTACCCTCTAATGTACCCCGAATACCCACTATTAAGGTCCATAAGGACTCAATTAAAGGGCCATTGGGGGGTCCTGGTGTCGACGTACCTTTAACATAAAATCCTCCCAGCACCGGCCAGGTTGGCAGTGATCCGCTTGTCCAAAGAATGACAGCGAGATCTGAGCGTGAAAGTACGCTTGGGGCCAGTCTTTGCGAGCAGTAGAGGGGTTGGGTTCTAGGCAGAAATGCATATACCCATAGGCTCCATAGTAGTTCCTTATGGGATTACCTTATAGGATTCAATATGCACCCCAAAAAGGAACTAAAATGGAGCCTGTGGGTAAGGTCTAGATTTCAGATTTGGAGTTTAGTTTGCAAGGTTGGGGTTGAATGCTTAAGGCTTAAGGTCAGTTTACAGGGTTACGGGCTGTACCATGAATCAATTAAAGGAGTGGAGTGTCTGGTTTCGGAGTCACGTTTCAGGGCCTGGGTTCCGGTTCCAGGTTTGGAGGGTAGGGTTCCCGCTTTCAGGACTTGATAAATCTGTGTGGGACCCCGTCACGGCATTGCTTACAGGCACAAACACCCTAAACCCTAAACACCCTAAACCCTAAACCCCTAAACCCTAAGCCGGAAAGCGTGGAACCTCCGGCCTTGGAAAATCCCAAGGCCCCAGACAGTCAGTCCCTCAGGTGCCGAGCTCTGAACCAAAGACTCCAATAGTGGCAGAAGGAAAGCCAGAAAAAGTGCGCAGAGGGCAAGCATGTGTGTGTGTGTGTGTGTGATTTTTAGCGCCTATGAAAGGGACGACAATATCCATTGCCCGTTACAGGTCCCACGCATCTTTATCTTGTGCTGTGAGTCTTTCACTCTTCTATCCCAGAGCCACGAAGCGGAATGGATTCGGTGCCCAAGCATATGCTCGATAGGTACCCTGAAACCCTCGGGGTAAGAGACAACGCGTAACCATCGTAGTAGATCACGCTGAATCCCTACTCTGAGTATTTAGGCCCTGCTGTAGGGTTTCGGGCTTGTCGTGCAGGGTTCAAAGCCTGAGGTTGAGAGTTTGCAATCCTTTGGCCGCTTGTCCGAACAAGTCATCATTAGCCACGGTTTGGGGTTTAGGGGTTTAGGGGTTGGGGTAGTCCCATGATATTGATAGCGGCAGCAAGAAGATTTGCAACAATGCAGGTGCGCATGTCTATACCCTAAGGCCCCGAAGTAGTTCCTTTTTGGGGGCTCATATATAGAATCCTACAAGGTAATCCCAAAAAGCAACTACTATGGGGCAGAAGGAGGCCTATGCGTGTTACTCGTTGAGGAGCGATTCAGACCTTGGCCCTCCATGCTGAATTCCAAACTCTAAACCATCAGCCGAAGCCCGTTTAAAGTAGAACAGAACTCCTCATTATTCATTTATTATACTTAGTTTCACCATAACATGATGAAAAACATGGCCCAGGCATGCCTTTTAATCTTTAGGGCGGTACCCTCTAAGTGCTGAAGGACAAGGCCGAAGTCATCAAACCATCACTCCGAAGACCCTACCAGGTACGCCCCAGGGCCCTTTGATAGAGTCCTTATGGCCCTTAATTGTGGCAATTTGCGGGTATATTAGAGGGTGTTTGGGGGGGTTAGGTAGATTGTAGCATCTGCTTTGGACCACCTAGTTTATGATCAGGATCCCATACTAGGAAACAAGGTAACTCCAATAAAGTACAGATTTTTGGGCCTAGGTAGTTCATTGTTCTCGAGTGCCCTAGACCCTAAGCCCTAAACTTCAAATCCTGAACTCTCTTAACCCTATAAGCCCTAAACTTCAAATCCTGAACTCTCTTAACCCTATAAGCCCTAAACCTAGTGCATGCTCGAGAGAGCTTTCGCTGCAAGTCTGCCTTTTCGGCTCTGAGTTCGTTGGTGTCCCTGGTTGCCCCAAAGGCTAAACCCTGAACCGCATCAGTGATAGTTAGAGGGTTTATCGTGTTTAGGACTTGTGCCGAAATCAAAGACGCCTGTCGAGCCGAGATAACTGTTCTGGATATGAGGGTTTCAGAAGCTCAGGGAGCTTTCTTCAGGCTCGGGGCTGTCCAGTGACATAAGTGTAGGGTGTATAGGGTTTATGAATATAGGTCGCTTGGTGTTCTAAATACGCTTACAGTTATATAGGTGCGCGGAGGCTTGGGCTGAGATAAGCAAGCCGCTGCCGGCCAGCATGCGGTCACCAGCCCTTCACCAAGGACAATTGGATGTTTCTCTGCAGACTTTGTAGCGCCCTAAGCCCACAGTTGCCTATACTGTGGGCTACCCATGCGTCGAGAACTACGCATATAGCTGCTATGGTACCCATAAGCGACTACCATACTGCTTACACAGGTTGCTGACTTGTAAGGGGGCGTGTAGGATTGCATTGATTTCTTGTTTGCAAATTTGCTGTTCAAGATTGTGCCTTAGGCTGCAGGACCCAAATCAAAACCTTACATTCATGATTCATAACCCTACCTTAACCCCAAATAACCTACCTGTTTAAGGACTTACATAAAGAAGTCATAGTAGGAAACCCTGAAAAATAAAGGTAGGTTCCTTAGGGCCCAGGTAAACCCTAAACCCTGGAGTCTCTCTGGATTTTGTTTATACGTCACGGCTGTGTTTTGAGATGGGGCTTGCATGGCGTGACTGTGAAGGGCCCCTCGAGCCTGCAGCGCCGACAGCCCTAAAGCCGTAGCCCGAATAGCATCTACTATCGACTGGGGGGCAGTGGAAGGAATTAGGGCCCCTAGGGGCCCAAGAATGATTAATCCTAGTAACCCAGTACGTGCAGCCTCAATTCGAGAATTTCGGCGCATGGTTGGTTCCTAATTTTGCATGAGCATTCCTCCCCTTGTTTCTCTTACGTTTGGATAAGAGACGCCCCTGCTCATGTAAAAGGTGCACAAGCTGTGCTTGGTCGAGGTCCCGTTGAGGGGAGCTAGGAAAGAGAGACATGTCTGCCACACATCGCCGCCGCGGCATTGTCCCTCGAGCCGGCAAAGATGGTGTAAGCCAGTGTAAGCGGGCATAGGGGTTCGAAGACGCTGATTTGGGGTGGGTAGTTTAGGATGCATTGGTTTCATGTTTGTTTTGAGTGAGCCGAGCCAGCTGTATTTCAGCAACAACGGCCCGATCCGAAAGCCTTTCACACTAAACCTTCGTTCTAAACCCTAAAGCTTTCCCAAAACCGCATGCCTTCTGCCCCACAAAATTGGTTTAGGATTTAGGGTTTAGGGTTGCTCATGCCATGCCGGTCAGGGTAGCCGCGCTTCCCGTACCAGGCGTTGGCTTCGGTTTGGGGTTTTAATCCTCAGTGTCCATGTAACCAGATGGGAGTACTTTTTTGGGGCCAATGTGCCTACATAGGGACGACTCTCTACCGCAAATTAATGCGTATACTGGGTGAGTAACACGGTGAGTACATGGACCCTTAGGGTTTAAGGTATTGTCTTGTACCACTTAGTTAGGGATTCAAGGCAGCTGCTTTGCCGAAGAGTCCCTGTGATGCTCATGGTGCGGTTTTGGGATTCAAGTACCTTGTTTAGTCCCGGCAGCTCTGCACAGTGTCTACAAGCCGGAAGCCCTAAGCCCTAATCTGGTAAACCCTAAACCCTGTAAACCCTATAATCCCTATAAGCCCTAAACCCTAATCCCACAGGCATTCCCGCTAACAAGTTGGAAAAGAGCCCTCAAAAAAAAATCCCAAAGACCTGATCTAGGTGAAGACTACGAGTCCGACCCAGAGCCAGAAGAGGACGAGGGCGAGTTCGCCAACTTGCGGCTGGAGCTGATTTAGGTTTTAGGGGTTTTGGGTTCAGGGATGCTTCGGGTTCAGGATTCCGTCGTTTAGGCTAAAGGGCTTCGGATCGAGTAAGTGTAAGTAAGGTTTGAAGTTTTGGGGGATCAGGATTTCAGCCCTGACGGCCCCGGCAAGTCAAATAAGGAAGGCTCTCGGAATCATTGCCAGGTAAGGTATTCAAGGTTGATTCCGTAATTGAGGGTTTTGGGGGTTCTAGGCTTTGGCGCTTGAAAGAAGCCTCAATGATTACCAATATTATCCCTTAGGGGTATAGTAGATTCACACTGTCTAGTTAGATAGTAAGCTCATGTCTGTCCCTAGAAGCCCGCGCAGCTAATTTTAGATATACACCTGAATATCTCGTTTTACTATCCTCGTATAGCCCCGATCCTAACTATGGAAAAAGAGACACCAAAACCCTGTTCCAATCATTAAGGCCCCTATACTACCCACATCGTCTGGCAGTGCACGGTAAGCCCGATATGAAGACTCCAGTACGCGCGACCAACCCAAAGCCCTCAACCTCTCAATTTCGAGTTTAGGCAATTAGGGTTTAGGAGGTAATTAGGGTTCAGACTTGGGGGACCCTTAAACCCCGACCGAAGCAGAAGGCTACTTGGCTCTGAGTCCGAGTGTTTTCTTCTCTTGCTATGAGAATTGGAGGTTCCCACAAGTCTGAGGCACTGTTTGATGTCACCTGTTCTGCTCATAGCAGCATTTTCGATTCGGGTTTAGGATCTAGGATTTAGGCTGAGGGTTTCAGGATTTAGATTTGGCGATTTGAGGTTTCCTATGTGGTGGCTGGGGCTGCCGGGGTTTTTTTTGACATTGGATCTGGCGATTCGTTTTCGCAGTTGTGATTCACGATAAACCCTAAACCCTATAGACCCTAAACCCTAGACCCTCAACCCTAAACCCTAAACCCCTAAACCCTAAACCCTAAACCCTAGACCCTCAACCCTAAACCATTTAGGGCTTCAGCGGCAGATGTTGGGTTCGGGGTTCTCGTTTAGTATTTCGGCTCGGTCCTGGACTTCCAAGAACCTAGGCTTTGGGGTTTAGGGGCTTAATGTCAAAATTTGAGGGGTTTGGGGTTTAGGGGTTTAGGGTTTAAGGAGTTTACGGTTGACGTTGAGGGTTTAGGGGTTTAGGGGTTTAGGGTTGAGGGGTTTAGGGTTGAGGGGTTTAGGGTTTAGGGGTTTAGGGTTTAGGGCTTTGGGGTTCAAAACCCCGTACATAACTCCAGCCCCAAAGGCGGAGACGCTCCACGAAAGCGCGAGACCCAATTCCAAAGCCTTCTTCCTAAGCCCCAACACCCTAAAGGGAACTCCGGAAAGTTGGAATATGGATTAATGGTAGGATCCCCTATAATTTACTTTAAAGGGAGTATGATAATGATATTCCAACTTTCTGGCTTCTACTGTAGAGCCCGAAGTCCGAACCTGGAGCCTGACCCGACTCCTGCAGGCCCAAATCCGTAAGCCTGAATGCCAACGAATCCACAGTCCTGAACCCCAAATGCCATAGTGGTTGGGGTTACCCCGCCCTCATTTTACAAGAACTTCCGAGCGCTATTGGGGTCACCTCCCTCCTTTTGGTGATAATACCAATCTGGCCTAAACCCACATGCTATAATACGAAGGGAATGGGGGCCCCTGGGGGATTGAAATGAGGAGGGGGGCTTGTGGCCCCTCAACCCTAGATACGAATGATCCCGCAATGCCACAGCCTGAACGCCCCGAAGCCCTAAACCCTAAAACCCAAAAAAACCATAAACCCCACACCCGAAGACCTAAACCCTAAGCTGCAAGCCCGAAGATCTGAGGCAGACTGGGCCGGAGGGCGCTCGCAGACGCAGATCTCGGAATTGCGGTTTGAGGCGAGCCACTCTCCTCCCTCTCTCTCTCTCTCTCTCTCTCTCTCTCTCTCTCTCTCTCTCTCTCTCTCTCTCTCTCTCTCTCTCTCTCTCTCTCTCTCTCTTTCTCACTTTCTCTCTCTCTCTCTCTCTCTCTTTCTCTCTCTTTCTCTGTTTATCACTTTCTCTTATTTTTTCTCTCTCTCTCTCTCTCTCTCTCTCTCTCTCTCTCTCGTTCTCTCTTTATCAGTTTATCACTTTAGCTTTTTTTGTTCTCTCTCTCTCTCTCTCTTTTTCTCCTTCTCTCTTTCGCACGTTCTCTCATTCTGATTGTGTTGTTTTCTCTCTGTCTCTCTCTCGCTCTGTTTCTCTCGTTCTGTTTGTTTCACTTTCTCTCATTCTGTCTCTCTCTCTCTCTCTCTCTTTCTCTTTATCTTTTTCTCTCTCTCTCTCTCTCTCTCTCTCTCCCTCTCTCTCGTTCTTTCTTTCGCTCTTTCTCGGTTTATCTCTCTCTCGCTCTCTCTCCCTCTCTCTCTCTCTCTATCTCTCTCTCTCGTTCTCTCTTTCTTTCTCTCTTTCTCTCTGTCTTTGGCTATGTATGCATGTATGTATGTATGTACTGCATGTAAGTTAAAAACTAAGCAAGTAGGTAAGCCAGTAGAACCACATGTATGCATGTATGTATGCATGTGCGTATGTGTTTTTATATCTTATCCCCCGAATTGACCCGCAGGAGCTGCGTTTTGGTACAACAGCAGTGGTAGCATGCCAGGAGGATAGGACAAATCCTTCGGTTATATTCACAAATGCATGTGGTCTTCTGTTGCGTGGTAGCATTAACATTGCAAGCAGCCAAAACTAATGCATGCTGTTGGTGTAGACACAAGTCAATGAGAACCCATCAGACTATATAAAGGCAGACATTAGCAGTTTTGCATATAAAGTCGCATAAAGACATGGCTTCGTGATGTTTTCCATGTAAAACAAGATGGTTTATAGTCTCGACAGGCCTACAGTGTCTCTAAGAAATGCATCTGATTGTCTGACTTTGATGAATACTCTTGCGCATACGGAGGTTTTGGAAACATTCGCTTATGTGTATGTAACTTTTGTTGCATCTACGCGGCAAAACTAGTGGAGTCTGTCGGTGCATCTACGCATAGCATATTCAACATTTGCAAGTGCGTATATATGTGTATGTATATATATATATGCACAAAACAGGTCTGTCGCACGAATCTCTACACATATCTCTGTATTATGCACATCTCTTCTATACTCCTGCCTATCTAGTTTGAGGATTCTGCGAACTACTATTGCAATATGTACACATGTGGAAGCACCTGCAAGAACAATCAAAAGACACGTGGACCCATCTATGAATACAGCGGTGCATATATGCCCTCTATGGTTGGAGCCAGGATGGCACACATGCACACCTTATGTTCGTGTTCTATGATTGTATGCACGTTATATACATATATATATATGTAGAGAGAGAGAGAGAGAGAGAGAGAGAGAGAGAGAGAGATTTTAAATGTAGATAGGTAGCACATGCGCAAATTTCCGTGACATGTCTCTAATTTCGTAACATATCTATGTTTATATATACATATGTGTAGATACATATCCCTCTCTCTCTATACATATATATATATGTATATATACGAGATATATGTGTACTTCTCGATGTGCACAGGCTGCACGGCCAAACCTACTGGAATCTGTCGGTGTTTACGCACATGAGTATCTAAGCATACTTGCATAGGTGTATACACATATATATATACACATATATATGTGTTGGAGAGCCAGAGAGAGAGAGAGAGAGAGAGAGAGAGAGAGAGAGAGACAGAGACATAGAGAGAGAGAGAGAGAGAGAGGGAGAGAGAGAAAGAGAGAGAGAGAGAGAAAAGAGAGAGAGAGAGAGAGAGAGAGAGACAGGGAGAGAGAGAGCGAGAGAGAGAGGGGGGGAGAAAGCATCAGCGCTGTCGTAGGACCAGGAAAATATCTAGCCTTGCATGTGACCATGTGCTAACACAGCTAGTTATTTTCACCCATCTATGTGAACTTTAGGGCTCAATATCTACGTTGACATATAGTTCTGTATGCATATCTGTATACCTGCCTGTCTATATTGTGGACAACCGGCAATATTGCACATGTGTACATATGTGGAAGCAGCAGATAAGTGTATACTAGACATCTACGAGTGAATGCGCACATCTACGCCTAGGTCCAGTTTTAATTGCATACAGACTGCACGTTTGCGTTTAGCATATATATATATACATATACATACATACGTACATGGGTACCTATATATATATATATATGTGTGTATATATATTATACACCTACACATCGATAATCGATAGGAACAACGGGATACTTGTGGATACATGTATACTTTACGAAGTGCCGAGGGAAGGGAGGGGGTCGATTCGTCGGAAGTCTACGTTCAGGAGGCATAGAAAGATATCCTAACTCATTGCCCCGCAAGTATACAGGCTCTTGGGTGAGTTAGAATAGCCGAAGCTGCCAGAGTTCAAGCTTTTCCTTGCAAGAAGGACAGTGCGCAGGTTGCAGTTGTTTTAGCTCGACCACGCGAGTCTGTTCCAAGTACTCAGGCCCCGTATGAGACCACCGGCCCAACCTTAACAAGTTTCTGCCCAACGCCCTGTCGTAGCTAGTTGGGTACTTCTTCACAAAGTTGACCTGCTTGTTGCGCATTGCGCTCTAAGTCTGTGGTGTGGAAGACTTTGAGAGTGATATGAATATGGGCTGAAAGCCGACAAATACACTCTAGACCCCCGACACCCCCCTGACCTAAACCCCCAGCTCAAAAGTCTAAATCTTGCAGTCTAGAAACCCAAAACCCATGCACAAAGCCCACATCACGGAAAAAAAAAACTGCGGGACAGATGGACTGTTCCTGGTGCCTCGATCACCCTCTTCTTGGTCCCTGGGATCTGGAATGGCTTTCTCGGGTTGGGGCTGAAGATTGGATGCATTCCTAAACCTTACCCCAAAGGGTCCTATGTACCGATATAGTAGAATGTAGGGTTTCCATATTAAGAATTACTAGTATGACTTAGGGAAGTATCCGCCATACCAGTACATAGGACCCTTTGGGTACCCCGAGCTCCGAAACCTTGGGAGTGCTCAGATCCTAAACGCAAAGCAGCCCAACCCTACATAGCAAGAGTCTGAAGCTCCAAGCAAGAGAAGAACACTAAGCAACAGAACACAAGAACGGCAATAACTAGCGCCTGAACACGCAACCTAGTCTTGCTGTGGCGCTGGATTTATTAGTTGCGTGACGTTCTTGCTTTATTGCACGCCGACCGGGGCTAGTTCTTTATTTTGGCATTTTTAGGTGACCCTGTACCGTGTTCCGGACCCAACCGGATGTTTGTGGTTTCAACTGAAAGCTTGTATTGAACAGTGCATGATACGACAGTCTGGATTTTTGGAGTGTTTTTCGGTCTTTTCTAAAGATGTTAATGGAGGGTTTAGGGTTTACGGTTCAAAGGGTTTTGTTAGGCCGCTGGATTGAGTCTGTGCTGCCCTACTGTACATGTACTACTCCTGCACCACTCCACTGACTAATGCACGACTATGCGATTGCATTACAATCAATGTTCTACAAGTGTATAGAGGTATCAATTACTTTTCCAGTGTACGACTATGTTGCAATATACGACTGTACCACTGTTCTACAAGTGAGTCTACTACTTATGCCTTATAGTACTGTAAGATCATGCTGCTAATCATGTATTTGGGGGAGCACGTGGGGAGCAAATGTTTAAGGATGCTGGAGCATGCCAGGGGGGACTAGACCCACTACCACAGTAGTATGAGAAGACCATCAGCAATCCCCTTCAACCCGAAAAGAAACCAGGTCTGGGTTTGTCCAAAATTGGGCGACCGAGACAGCCGCAGCCACTACACGCAGGTGGTCAAGATGTATAGGTTTTTGACAGGTTTAGGGTTCAGGACTTGGATTTCAGGGCGTCGTTTTTTGTTTACGGCGGCAGGGTTAAGTTACAATTCCGGTTTGTTGGATTATATAGCGGTTATGGTATAGGGATTGTGTTGTTGAAGCTTAGGCTGCTCGGTCCTACCAGCAACCCCCCCGCAACACACCAAAGCACTCTGTGAAGGACGTCTTAGAAGCTGCAGATTCTGGAACAGAGGTTCCTTGTTTAGGGAAGGAAGCTGGCTCCGAATGCCAGCTTTTCGAAGCATCTCATCTCGTAGCTGACGGGTCTGATTTGTAGCTTTGTAAGGTTTGCCCTAAGGCCCCAAAGTAGTTCCTTTTTCGGGTTCATATATACTATTCTAGATTACCAAAAAGGAACTGCTATGGGGCCTTAGGGTGCAGACTGAATGAAGGTTTAGGAACTCGGATTGCGAACCTTCGACACGGGCTTGGAGTTTTGGTCTGGGTCTCTGGATGTCTTTGGGGCGTGAGTGTAGCCGAGGCAAACAGACTAGCTGGCATGCGGAAAATCCGTACGGCTTGAAAGGTTCTGCTAGGATAGATCCTCAAGCGGGGGTCTTAGATTCCATAGGACCTATTGAGATTCCTTAGGATCAAACACCTGACGAGTTAAGATAATTGGAGCGGTTAAGGGTGTAGGTTGGGGGGAACGGAAGTAGGTCTGCGCTGGAGGGCTTAGAATGACTGCCGAATACGGAGGGTTTCAGGAAACCAGGGAACTCCACACCCAGCTTAGGGTTCCTCCTTAAGGACGAAATGAGCCCTAAAAGGGTTTAAGGTTCATATACCATATAGGGATTCATAGTATATGGGTATAGGGCCCCTACTTTTAAGGGTCATTTGGCCCTTCAGGCTCTTCCTATCACAAGGATCTTACGACTTGGGTCTTATGATTACGGTCCCTTCTCTCTGAAGCTCTCATATGCTTGTGGTAGAGGGGCCCTTAAAGAGCCCCATGCAATACGACCCGGGGGATCCTCAGAACCGTCGAAGCTAACGAAGGTTCTTGGAAGGGATTCTGGTCCGAAGACTCCCAAAAAGACAATCCAAGTACTGCAGGGGACTTCATGAGTGGAATCGGGTTTTGGGCGTTCCTTATTATAGTCATAGCATAATGATCCCCAAACCCGTTTAGAAATTACTGAGGCCCCGAAATTACTTGGATTGCAGGCTAGCGATCCCCAGCTGCTGTTTTAGGGTTGGGCCGGAAAGCACAACCCGAATTCGCCTGGAAGATGAGCTCGAAACCCTACCTTAAGCCGGAAGAACCTACCTTTTTTAGGACTTATATAAAGAATTCATAATAAGGGACCCTAAAAAGGTAGGTTAATCCGGCTTAAGATAAGCCCTAAACATGTAGCCAGCGATCCAACGGAGAGCAGGAGATTCGTGCCACGGTGTCCGTGCATTTTAAATGCTTAGAATGCGAAACTGGCACTTAGTGACAGCCGAAAAGAGCTGTGCCCTGTAATCCACTCTAAGTCGATATGCAGGTTCCTGCTTTAGCATAAGCAGCGCAGCATGCCCTTTCCTGCAGGAGCGAGATGAGGTCTACTTCCACAGGTCAGCGGACGAGGCCATGCCGATTTCAGCTCCTGACCCGCTAGAAGCCGACCTTGATGCAATAGTGGAGCTTCCGGGTGTTACTTCGACGACGAGCACGTCCGCGACCTCGACGAACACGTCCGCGACCAGCACCTCGACATCCACATCCTCGTCGTCTAGCACCACGTCAACCACCACCACTGTGGCTTCGTAGTCCAAGAAACATTTGTTGTTGAGTCCTTGTGTTGGCGCCCCCAGGTTTGGAAGCCTTGCTTGACTTTCCAACACCGCAAGAACTTCCGCAGCGCCAACGCTAAAGCCATAAAGCCCGTAACATCTCCAGACGAAATCCTAAACCCTATATCTATCTATCTATCTATCTATCTATCTATCTCTATAAATAAATAAATAAACATATATATATATATATATATATATTAGGAGTTGATGAAAATAGGGGACCCTAATATAGTACCCTAAATAGTCGGATCCTTGTTATAAGGACCCCAAAATAAGGGACCCCTTTTTTGCGGAAGCTCCCATATATGGCCCTGAACTCAACACCCCGACTCCTTCGACCCTATACTAAGGTTATCGTGCAGATGTATCAACCGAAAGAAGTAGCTCTCCCCGCTGCTCTGGGAACTGTTTTGGGCACAGCTCTGGCTGTCTCCTTGGGGGTAGGAGCTGCTTCAGAGTTTAGGGGTTTAGGGTTTACGGCTTCGGGTTTGTTTGTAACTTGCGATGTTTGATCTAGGATCTGGAGTTTAGTTTACAGAGGGTTCAAGGTTTAGTTCAGGGTCGGGGTTACATAGGGTGAAGGGCTCAGGGTCTTTATGTGATTTATGTGGCTTAGAACCCACCGACACCACCCTCATGCTCAAACGTCAGGTTCCCACAACCCTAGAATTGCACTCCAAGCACCCCTATGCCCTCTGAAGCAAGAGTTTAGGGGTTCAGGGTTTAGGGTTTTGCGGTTTAGGGTTAGACCCAAACTTCTCTCTGCTCAGACCAAGGCAAGGTCTCCTGCACTACAGCGTGCAACTGTAGCAGAATGGAACCTTCGCACCCCGTAGCCTGATGGACTTGAACAGCAGGTCAAAGAAGCAGAATACCCTAAACCTGAATTTTCTATAGCCTGAACCCTACAACCACTCGCCTGTTTTCGAACTTACTGGCCTGTAGCGTGAACCCATAGCATCCCAGACCACACACTGAATCCATCAACCCCTGAATCCTTAAAGTGCACCGACAAGTTTGAGTTCCGAAAACTCTGAAAACAACAAGGTGTGAAGCCCCCTCAGTGACCCTACAGGACTGGGCTTATCTGGCGGACTTGGGATCTACTTCGCTTTGGGCAGCCTCACAGTGAGTGTGCCCGATGCCAGCTCTTTCAGTCAGAATGCCCAGGCCTGTCGGGCGGGCTGGTTTATCAGGCTATATGCCATTATGCGGTTTCACAACACCCCCCCTAATCCCTATAAGCTCCGATCAGGCCTCTGTGCCCGAAACCCTAAAGCTACTTCGAATCTATAAGGCTGCAACACCTAGGGTTTCTACAAACCCTGCAAGGGTTCTTGGCAAGGGTTTGTCTTGGGGGGGTTGTACGCTTTGCGGCTTCAAGGGTCGGGCCCAGGCGGGCGCTGTGCGAGCTGGGACCCAGAGATTGGGAGTCCAAGGTTTAGAGGTTACGTGCTCAGGTTTTCAGGTGTAGGAGTTATGGTCCAGGGCATGGGGCTTAAGGTTTGGGGTTTAGGCTTTGGGGTGTTGCTAAATCCCTAGTAGAAACCCTAAGCCTTTAAACCCCAAACCCTAAATCCCTAAACCCCCAAACCCCTAAACCCTAAACCCCTAAACCCCTAAACCCCCAAACCCCAAACCCTAAATCCCTAAACCCCCAAACCCCTAGACCCTAAACCCCTAAACCCCTAAACCTCTAAACCCCCAAACCCCCTAAACCCCAAACCCTAAATCCCTAAACCCCCAAACCCCTAAACCCCCATACCCTAAACCCCTAAACGAAAAAAAAGAAAGGCCATCCAGGCGGTAAAGCGAACGCTCGCGAGGATGGCTGGTGAGGTCGCCGGGCCATCGAAGGAATGTAGCCCTAAGGGTCCATGTACTCATATGGGAGTTTCCGAAAATTTAGGGTATCTTATTTGGGGGTCCTTACAGTAAGAATCCTACTATTTTGGGTACCATATTGGGGACCCCTATTTTCGGAAAGTCCCATAAAGTATATACATTGGCCGTAATGTAGTCCCTATATAGGTACTTTGGGGCTCATGTATCTCTATATGGGTACAGGGACCCTTTAGGGGAAGGAATGTACGTAAAGGGTCCAAGTACCATTATAGCAGGTATTTGGGCCCCAAAAGTATATGCTATACCATTACCTGGACCCTTTGGGGTAGGTTTGATAGTGTCTGGGCCATCGAAGGAATGTAGGTTTGATTTTACCCTTGGTTAGTAGGGCAGGAAGAATGGTAGTTATAGTAGTTATAATTGTGCCCCATTCCTCCCTTCGCTACTAACCAAAGGTGAGTTGAGAGGGGTAGGTGTTGTTTGGTTTAGGGTTAGGGTTAAGGGTTCAGGGTGCAGTTATTGTTGGATTTAGGTTAGGGTTTGGGGTTTAGGGTGTAGTTTTTTAGCTGGTTTAGTAAAGGGTCAAGGCTCAGGGTTGAGGGTGCAGTTATTGTTGGGTTTAGGGTTTAGCGTTTAGGGTGTTGTGGGGTTTAGGGTTTAGGGGTTCGGCGGTTTCAGAGTGTCGATAACTGGGGTTTGCTAGGGGGTGTTACCAGGGTTCATGGAATTTTAACAGGGGTCATACAAGAGGTTTGCAAGTCGTTGCTAGAGGTGTTAAGAAGTTTACAATACAGCTACCGTAACTATAGACTATAGCGTTACATACTGACAGCCTTCGGTTCCCTTGTGATGGCAACATCAACTATGCGCAATAGCCAAGGAAGTGGATGAAACAGCAGTGGAACTGGTTCTGCCGTGTGCTCCCGGCCCATTCTTTGCGGCTTACTCTGCCGGTGCTTTGCGTCGGAGACTGCAGGAGACCATCAACATTTGCTTTAACATTCGGGTGCCTTGGATGCAGCGGAAAATGCATAGCCAATTGCATGGTGCGCAGCCTTCATAAGGAACATGTCGCAGGACTCATAGTGGCAAAGTCTTGATGACCTTCGCCCAAACGCTCCTACAGCCCTAAAGCGCTAGATCTCTGCAACCCATCCGCCCGAACACTCTGTTTGGACATGAAAGCCTTTAGCGCAACTTCAGCGTGAATGACGATCAACCCCGGCACAGGAGGGGTACTAGCTTCTGGTAAGTTCAGTAGTGCTTATAGAGTTTGATGATACTGGAGCCTATAGAGGATACGCTTTAGGGTCTATTGTTTCAACACACGCAACAGAAACACAGCGAACTACGATTGCTCCAGAAGTTTACATAGCAAGGCCGTCAACCCTAAACCCTAAGCCCTAAGCCGAAGACTGCAAGCCCCAAGTATTCTATATGGGTACACTGGAGCTTGATTTAAATAGTTACCCCAAACCCTGAGCTCTATTGAACTAAAGTAAAAGCCAGAAAGTTGGAATATGATTATCCTAACCCTTCTATGGTAAATTATGGGGTATCCTACCCAGAAACCATATTCCAACTTTCTGGAGTTCCCTATAGGTAACCTCATTCCCAAAGCCTGATTGAGTCGGGCACTCTGAGCCCTGAACCCTTTAAGTTTCCCTGACGTCGGCATGCTGCACTCACGGGTTTGGGGTTATGTCGTAGAGTGCAGAAGCTACCTTAAACCCTATAAACCCTTCTGGACCATCAGTTGCAAAGGACTGCTTATGCACTGAACTCACGCAGCAAGATACATACGCAGCAATTAAGGACTGTTCGTGAATTCGGTCGGAGACCAGGAACTCTACAAATGTCGAGCAACAAGGGCCCAGCGAATCCTAAGTTATAATTTAATGATAGATCCAAAAGGCCGAATGCTTTAGGGCCATTTCCTTCCGTCGGAGCAAGAAGTCTTGTGTAAGCATATCTAGGATCCCCAGTAGTACTCTTATTCCTTTTTGTAGTCCGAGGTTCCTTATAAAGTTACCCAATACCAATAAGAGAGGCCTTTTTATTCTTAGGTTACTGGGTATCCTAGATATTGAAGGTTCCTGCTTCAGGGACAAGAAGGGACCCTGTGCCTACACATTTCAGTGTATCTTCCAGGCAGAAGAGACCCCTGCATGCTGGAAGAAATTCTTCACTCGGGTGTACAGAGTACTGGGACCCTAAGGCGCACAATATCCCAAAAACCCAAACCCTAAAGTTTAGAGAGTGCAACGCCCTGGTGGTGTGTATTTCTCGGTAATTTAGAGGTTTTCACACGAGTTTTTGCACCCAGAATATTAAGCGTTGTGTTGCCTCATCCAGGCATGCACCCTTGATTTTGAGTCTTGGGCATGTCACGAAGTAGGAGTTTGTTGGGGAAGAGGGAGGAGGTTTGCCATCCAGCATCTCCATTGAAGTTGAGGTGCGTGATCTGGCATATCATGTCAAAATCATTAAGAATCCATCACAACCCCTGGGTGTCTATCCACATATGCATCTGGCTTTAATGGATGCGTGTTTATGGAAATGTGTATATTTACAGTGCATACGAATGCTGACCTGTAACTTATTGTATATATCATGTCTTCAACTAGGGATTGAAATTGTGGCGTGGGCTGCAGCATAAAAGCGACTATATTGACAGGCAGACCGTCATCGATGTGTATATACAACCGCATCTGAAGCCGTGGCTACACTTATAAAGCTCTGAGGGGTTTGCCACCTTTGAAGGTTTGCTACCCCGTCATCTACTATTGAAGCCTTGGATTGAGAGTGCAATATCTTCTAGTCTGCCTGTATTTGGGAAAACAGTCATCGATTTGAGGATCCAGTTGTGGTTCCGCCACTCATCGAACTTCTACGGGGGTTTGGCTCATTACATCCATGCGCAACACTGCGTTTCAGCCGAATGTCTTCCAGTAGAGTTTGGATGCTCTGGACACATGTCATCCTTTTCGGTACTCAGGTTCGCTACACACTATATATCTTTCGTGGATAAGTGTAGCCCGTGATATGTACTAAAGTGTTCAGACTCTGGTTTTTATTCTGGTGGTCTCCCAGCATCCCCTAATGTGATTTGCATTTCTGGCTGGGTGGGCCACACCTTTTAAGGATTAGCTTACGGTGTAATAGGGCATGTTAATCAGTTATTCTATTGAAGACCTGTTGTTCGCCATCATCCACCCACTTCCATGTAAATCCCAAAGACTATGTAATTACCCATTTCCGTGATGCACACAAAGTTATATGTGTGTGTATGCATGTATACATGTGTCATCCACCCATAATATGCTTGCAAGGTTCCAATTTACATCGTGTGTGCAACTGCATCGTGGCCTTGCGGTTACATACCCAGGTACTTGCATGTATATCGCAAAAAAACCTATCTATATGTGCATATTTATATAGAGATAGATTTATGCATATACATGTGTGTGCGCGTGCATGGGCTTCCAAAGTTCACGAACTTGTATATGGTTGCATAGGCTTCGAGTACGTGCATATCGATGCATATATATATATATATGTACACACACATATATTACCGGAGCCTGCGGCCCTCCATTTTCCTTTCAGTGCATGGCTGCCTAAATGCCTCATTGTTGCATACACATATGCTCGCTTATTTCAGAAATATTGCACATGTTTCCGTGATACTTAAATTAAATATGTACGTATATACCCGTGTATGTACATATGTATTAAGCATGTATGTATGTGTGCATAAGGATGGGAAAAGCATGAACATGGAAACAGCATGAGCATGTGTGTATGTAAGCATACACATCCATATGCAGGTGTGTATGCATGCCTTCATGTCATATACCAACATGCATACACAGACGTGTATATAGATACATACATATATATGTTGGTACAAACACCTATATACCAAGGTTGGCTTCCAGGTAACTATATATGTTCCGCCTCAAATGTAACAAGGATTTTGTAGCTTGCAATTTTTACTGCATTGTCTAAGTTTCTGGGTGAGGGTCCAATATCTTCTACAGTCTAAGGTTCTGGGTTCGCCACCCAGCATCTCTTCAGACGGTTAGGACCATCATATGCATTTGGGTTCGAGGCCCAATAACTCCTTCTGAACTTGGGTCCCGGTACAAGGATCTTATTCCCATCATACTTTTACTGTGTAGAATGAATTACCCATCATACTTCTGTCACAGTTTTCAGGTGTTGGAGCCGCTTTCCTAGGTGGTGGACAACACTAGCAAGCGTAAAGTCTTGACAGAGGGATGTTTCATTGGACAGGACAGGATTGGTGGCATACTGGAAACCTTGAAATGATTGAGCAACGCTGGATTGGGAGTGCCAAAGGCCGAAGGCTCCAGGCATCCTCTGCTTACAGACATGCGCCCTCCGGATGGCCCCTGGGGGCCGGGCGCCAAAAAAAAAAAAAAAAAAAATTGGCCAGAGATTTTGCACACAAGATTTTTTTTTTCTTTTTTTTTTGGCGCCCCCCCCCCCCAGGGCTCCAGGGCTCCAGGCCTCCATACTCCAAGGCCTAGAGGCCTAGAGCCACACCTTAAGGCCATGCCCTTATGTCCTTGAAAGTTTGTCCCATAACTTTATCTCTCTCGGACCGGTGTTCGGTTATGCCCGAACATTTTCAAATGGTTTGGTGGAATTTGTTGTCAATTCAGAACACGTCGTAAAATGTTGTATGCTGCAAAAACAATGTTGCGGGAAACGAAGAGCTTGCTGAGCTTGCCATCTGAGAGTGCAAGTGAAAACACGAACACACGAAAAAGCACGCCACCAGGGCGTGATGTTCTGAAAGTTTAGTGGTTTTGGGTTGAGGGGGTTTTGGGTTTAGGGACCCCAAAACCCTAAACCCTAAACCCTCAACTCTTCCCTGTAAAGGCCTGGCTATCAGGCGGGGCCCCGAATCCTCAAACCGTAGACACCAGATTGAACTCTCTGCAACGGGTTTCGGGGTAGGGTTAGAGATACCTGTAGCCTAGAAGACCTACAAGTACCTTTCGAAGGGGGGTTCCTTAAAAGGTAGGTCCTTTTCGGGTAATTACAGGCTTCAACCTGCCATAGCCTTCTTCAACTATGAGGTGAAGGTTGTATGCCCATGGAGTTTATAGTGACGCTACGAAAGCTGCGCGCTTTGGCGTGTCAAGAGTAGGTTCAAATCTTGGGGTTCCCTTCTACCCTGGGTTTAGGGTTTAGGCTCGAGTCGCCAGGACCATGCAGAAGCGATGCCGCGGTTGTCGTAAACATGGCCCTAAACCCTAGACCCCACGCTCTGGAGTTTATGCCCGTCACGGTCCAGGTTGAGGGCGAAGACAACAGCATCCGAGTATGCCAGCGCCTTTCGGAATTTGGACCAGGCGCACTCCAAACCCCGAAATCTTCAACCCCTAAACTCTGAACCGTAAGGCCCTCTAGCACAACCCATACGCTCAAATTGCGCCTCGATTCAGCTAGCATAGTTCTCCAAGTAGGTGTTATGGGAGTACATATATATATATACAC